GCTGCCACCCTCTGCTGTTCGAGCATTGGCATTTTTGTTTACAAACAAACTGTCAGTTGCTGTGTTTGACCTGCGCAGTGCCCAACTTTCTGCACACACACACGCAGACACATGTGTGAGTTTTCACTGCAATTATGTACATGCATGCGTGTGTGTACACAGTAACAGTAACTTCCGCGTACAAAAAGTGAGCCGACCAAAAAAAAAACAGCTTTTGCCTCTGTTTTTGGGGGTCACCTTAGCTATTCGGCGACTGATTTATTTTGGAGAGCTCGCATACACGCACATAGATACATACATATATGTACAGGTATATATATTTCTATTGCGTTTAATTTAGGCTGCAACTTATCGATTAATGCTATTTATGTTGCTGTTGCTGTTGTTGTTGTCGCTGCAAATCAACAGAAATGCCTGTAGAAAATGTACACGTCAGCTGAACGCATATGTAAAAAAAATAAATAAATAAACAACCCCACTGTATGGCATCTCAAGCAGGGAAGGCAGCCCGGGGCTGGAGCAGGCAGAGCTGCGCAGTTAGCAAATGTAAATTGCAAGCCCAACTGGCCCTACCTGGGTGGCAGTCTCTATAGAATTATGACGTCATCAATTTGTGGACAGAAGTTGACAAATAAAGAAGTTGACAAATAAAGAAGTTGACATATGAAAAGTTATGTTTAGATATGCCACAGAGAGAGCAATGCGGGTTTTTATTTTATTTTGGTAACGACGCACACGGGGAAAATTCACTTTCCTTAACCCATGTTGTTATTGTTGCTGATGTCATAAGTTAGCTACGTTGAAAGGATATGCCTGTCAGGACATGCACGGCCAGGCACCAAGCCGAGGACAAAGGCAATCGAACCCAAAACAGAGCGAAACACTTGATGACTTTTGTTTGGCTCTGACTGTGTGTATGTGTGTGTATGTGCGTATGTGTGTGTGCGTTACTGATAGGCATAATTACAGTTACAATATAGTAGAAAGAGATGGAGATTACACATGAGTGACTGCAAACTCTGCTTGCTATTTATACATAAAAAAATATTCATATTCGGATTTATGAACAGGGTATAATAAATTCTCTATTCAGTTTAGGGTATTCCGAATCTTTATTCAAATATTCTCTCAATCTCTACTATATAAATTTCTGACCAACTCTGAAATGTTCATTTCCGTATATACCCACTTCATACAGGGTATAAAGTCGTTGACTAACTTTCGAATGATTGTTTGTGAATTATCCAGGGGCTAGGGTCTGTTCGCAATGCGTGCCATTTGGAGATTAGCTGACTCGGAAAGCCGCTTTGCCGCCCGACTCTACCTGACTTGCTGTTATTGTTATTCTAGTTGTTGTCGACCTGTACAGGTAGCGTCGACAAACTGCCGCGTCAGCGCTAACTGCACTAATGAAAGCCACTAATGCGCTCTAATGATGACTTAATTGTTTAACTGACTTTCTATGTCAAGCCCAAGGGTCTAAGCCCAAGGCACGACTAGACTGGACTAGACCAGCCTAAAATGCAGTCAGCTCGCCATATAAGGCAAAAACTGGTTCAAAAATAGTTAACAAGAGAATCGGTAGTAGTCGAAACAAACTACAGTGAGAGAAAAGGGCCGAAATTTACATGAGATTACCCAAAAAGAGGATTACATATATGCATTTCTTGACTCAAGTCTATGATATTCTAATTTAGATATTCTAAATAAGTTTCAGGCATTATTTATGTTATAGAAATGTACATAATATACATCATAATTTCTCTCAGTGCAGCTGCATATTCTGTTACCCTTTTGCTATGTTTGCCAATTAAAGAGATGCCCGCAGTCAGATTCGACTGCGGCTCGTTAGTTCAAGTCCAAGTCGTGCCTGGGCTGGACCAAACCAAAATCCAGTTGCCAGACTCGAGCGACTTGCTCGAACCAACTCGAAACAACCTGAATGCACACAGGCACGCAGCCATACACACACACACACAGACACACATACATGCACACAACATCAGCTGTTTGTTGTTTATGTATGTTTTTTTTTTTGCTTTTATAAACATTTTGCCTTTGCAACTTGATTTATTGCCGACTCGCTCTAACACCCAGGTGAAAAATCGGCCAAAAAACGAAGATAAGTACCATAAGTAGAAGAAAATAAGAAGAAGCCGAAGCAGCAACAAAAACAATGAGATGAGCCTGCAAGACCTGTTCTCTGGCTTATTGTGCACTTTTGTGTGATTCACTTGGCGAGCCTGCGTGATTGGGTTTTCATTATATTTATTTCTTGTAATTTATTTTTCTGTTTAGGTATCTACGCAGATCCTTTTTATATACCCTCATCAAGCGAAAAGGTTGTGCTCACCATATATTTTATTATATATATTTTTTGCGGTCTGCGCTTCGGCATTTCTTCGTGCTATACCGAAAGAAAATTGTATTCAGTATTCTTGTGTTTTTTTTTGTTGCTGGCTCAGGTCCAACATTTTTTTTTTTTTTTTTTACACATTTCAAATATCATTTGAAAATCAAATAGCAAACAGCTGACATGGTTTTAAAATACTTTTGAACACAGGTGAAGAATTTCAAATACATTTGTTTAAATGAAAAGCGAAGCCATGAAGATAGAAAATAAAATGATCAATAATTTATAATGATTTTTAGAAATTATTAAAATTGTCAAAATCATAATAGAAAATTTTTAAGAATTCAAAAAAATTTATAATAAATGAGAAATAAATAAAAAAAATTTTATTTTTGTTTTTTTTTTTTTTTTTAAATTAAATAAAAACATTCTTTAAAGCACTCAAATAAAAAGCAAAGTAAAATTAAATAGAGAAATAGTTGACGTAACGTTTAAATATATTTATCAAATTTGCAACAATTTAGAAATTTTTGTAAGGTCAAAATAATTTATAGAATTAAATGGCATAAGCAATGCTATTTTTATATCATCAGGAAATGCATCTAAAGGCTAATCAGAGTGATAATCAAGTATTAAACAATTTTAAACGTATTTTCATCTGAACTCGGAAGTATTGGGGATTTTTCTACTGAAGCTAAGCTGAGCAAAGCTAGATTTTTTTCAAAGAAACTGAAGAGAACTGAGAATTGATAGGCCATGTCCACAAAAAAAGACGAAGACATTTGATAAGCATCTCTGTTAAAGCTGAAAACGTGCTGCAAGTTTTATTTATGGCTAATCGAAAGGAAGAAAGACAAAAACAATGCGAGATGCACGTCGAAAGCAAGATTTGCAGCTAAAGATATGGCATAGGCTATAGGGTATACACACACACACACACAATGGTATGTAGAACCTTTTGCGCTGACAGGCCGGACAAGTTCTGCACAGGTCACACACATAAATTTAGATATATGTATGTATGCATATATGTGTACAAAGTGTGAACTCTGCGAAGGTGCAATCAGAATTTTTTTTTATGCTGCGCTTGGCTGCGCTTTTCTGTATGTAAATCGTGCATAAAACAAATTTGTATAAAATGTATACATACATATATACACATGTACATGTATGTAAATATATACATTTCCAATATAATGCGCTCTGCTTCTTACGCTTCCTCTTTCTKCTTCTTCCTCTTCAGCTTCTATGCCATTTTTATGTTGACTTCCGCAAAACATTTGCCTTTGGCTTTGCTTGTGTTTTTGCTTTTGCTTTGGCTTTGGCTTTTATACTTGTGTTTGTATTTGTATTTGTGTACACTTACTTTGCTGCCCCTTTAGCTTTATTGATCCGCTGCAATCTAAGGTCCTTTTGGCTGCACAAAAAAATCACTTTGCGAGTTGAAATTGTTTTTTTAGCTGCTGCAAAATTGTTGCACAATGCTTGCTTGAAGCTTAAAAAATCTACGAAATGTTTCTTAATTAAATATATAATTTTTCAATGAGTGGGGTGAGTTTTTGTTTTTTGTTTTGTGGTGTTTAGTAGAAACAAGACGAACAACACAAACTCCGGATGACGTTTGCTAACGACGACTGACGGCGAGCGAATGAAGAAGAGGCAACTCAGCTGCCCAGTCGACGGTGCTAGTCGGGCTGGTGGTGGTGTCGGTGGTGCTGGTGGCTCTACAGCTGAGCTCGGCACAGTTACCCTGATATGACTGCCTTTGCCACTGCCACAAACGCTGCTGCGCCTGTGCAATGCAAAATAATGATGGCTAACGAAATACCCTAACCAAAATAAATAAGCTAAGGCGAACTGAATTCACCTACTTATGTAAAATATATATAGTTTAAATATCTCTACATACTCTAAAATTAATATATTTATGTTTAAAATATTTACAAGTCAATTTAAAATTAAATATATGAACAAATAAGTTAGGGTATTTCTTCAACTTGCTACTAACTATAATGGAAATTATATTCTCATCGCTGGGTTCACTTCGTCTCTCGTTCTCTCTCMCTCTAACACTCTCTCTGTCTGTCTGTTGCTCTCTGCAGCAAACAATTAGCAGCTGACTTTTGTTTGTATACAAAAATCATATTGCAACCAATGAGCGAGAATGAGAGTGAGAAACTGGTTTGCTGTGCAGACCGTACTACATACATAGAGGGTATATACTATATAAGCAAAAAAAAAAAGTAAAAAAAAAAATCGTAAACAAAACTTGATTTGCAGAGCGAAGGACTTCAAGTATTGAAATTAATTATAATGTTATGTATTACAATTGTCAGCTCTTTGTTAATATAGAATGCATATATTTTCAACAGTTCATTAATTTTAGAATTCACACTTTTTTACATAAACCATCAATTTTCGTAATTTTTACTTTAAAATGATTTATAAAACTATTTTACTTTCAATTTTCTAATAGTTAAAAGTCGGTAAGCGAAAAATCACAATTTAAATTTAACAGACAATTAATTTGGCCTGCGCATATTTGAGTTTATCATTAACAGCAATCTGTTAATCATTCTGCTGTTAACGCAAAATCGAGCATCAAAATGCAGACACCAACGCTCATATCGATAACTGTTATCGATAACAAACATCTGTAGCTGCTGCACGTGTTGACGTTTCTGCAACGCAAATTAAATATATTTTGCCGATTCTTAATTATTAGCCATAATGGGACGCCAAAATCGTTCGCGCAAACGCCGCGATGAGATGAACAAAATCAAGAAGGCGCGCTATGACGCGAAAGAGTTAATACGCCTGAAGAAGACATTGGGTCTGCTGGATGCAGATGGCAAGGAAATCAAGATGGAAATTGGCGAAGTTGCTGAGATTAAGACAGCTAAGGAGATTAAGAGAGTAAGCTGAAATTGTGAGGAATATGGTGGAATATATGAACTATAAACAAATCTCCAACAGGCAGCCAAGACCAAGGAGGAACAGGAGCTGATGTACGAGCATCAGGAGAAAATGGAGAAGGGCCAAAAGATTGTCAGAGTGAACGAGAAAACCGGTGTCGAACATGTTTTCAATAGCAAAACACTCAAAGATCAATTCGGCAACTATCCAGAATGGTTCAAGCGCAAGAAGACAGCGAAGCGTCTACGTAAGAAGCAGCATGCACAGAAGAAGAACTTCAAACAGGCTTGGACAACGGTCAATGTGCCGTTATAAAAGGGAAGGCCAAACACGCCTCGCCCAACCACGCCTAGCTCTTAAGTTATAGCATAAAGTTAAAGATATGTTTAGACTCAACTTCGTAACTGTTAGCAATAGAGCTTTTTATATTGCATATTAAAAAACCTTAAAATTACACATGAAACTTTAAGCTTAAGATAATTAGAAGTAAATCAATGGATATACATTTATAGAAGCTATTTGCTAGGTATATATATATATAGGTAAGCTACTTGGTAACTGTCATGGCTAAAACAACAATTAACGTTTAAACTATTTCCGAGACAGAGAAAGAGAGATATAGGTGAGAGCAGAAATTTGAAGGGGAAAGATTTTTAGAAGTTTTTCCTAAATGGCACAGAATAACAAAATATTGGAAGGCGTATCGAAGAGGTCTTAACTATCATGGTTGAAAAACTAGGAAAAGATAGAATTAGCAAGTTCTATACTAAAAAAAAACTGGAAATTTATAAATCGCACAGAACTTTTTGCGACCTTATTCGTATTCTCTTTAAAAAGTACTTTCGCCTGGTAGCTTCTGCTCATTTGTAACAAGAGAAGACTGTAGAGAATAAGAAGATGGGAGAACACATTGCAAAGAGCTTAAAATCAGCAGACTCTGTCTGCATCTCTAGCTAAGACAATGGATTGAAGAAGAGCAGATCGAAGAAACTGCTTCTTTCGTTCAAGATCTAATATTAATGACTCTACAAAAGGGGAACATTCATTGAAGAAGAGATAATCAAAATCTCTTCTTCAATACAAAAATATTTCCTTAGGGTAATATTCATTTCGGTTTACCGAAATGAATCAAATAATCTGGAACTGCTTCACTCTTACTTAAAGATCTCAAAGCGAGATTCGAATAGTTAAACCTTTTATAAACTTAAAGCAAATATAAATTGCACAGATATTTCTCAGTTGTCCTTCTGCGTCTGCTGCCTCACAAACAAATTCAAGGACTTTCATCCTTCTACTTTTTAGCTACGCCCTCACTGTATGTTACAATAGCTGCGCACACTGCATATGACGCCCGTGGTGGCTGCCTCCAGACGGAGCCTGTTGCCTGTCCACATGGTCGTAGTTGCCAAGACCCTGGAATTGCTTCTTGGTCATTCGGACTTCTCGGCCAGCTCGAGAGTCTCGGTGGATTCGTTGCCATCCTGCTGTTGTGCCTGCTGCTCCTCGATGCTGCCGTGCAACACATTCGGATTGCTCTTCAGCACAGATCCGCCAGTGAATCCCAGTATGCCACAGCCAACGGCAGCGAGACCACCCGCCTTTATGCCAGCTACCATGCCAATGGGTCCACCCACACAAGTGCCCAACAGAGCGCCCACAACCGGATACATCGCCTTCTTGTAAGTCAAGGCATTTCTTAGCCTTTTCTCGCCCTCGATTACATTCTCCAAAGCTTCCTCTGCATTATCTGCTATAGACTGAACGCTATTTGCCTGCTCCTGTGTCAACTCTCGCATGCCATGGAACATGCAATTGAGATCATAGATTTCATGCTGCAGCTGCTCCATTTGCTCCAGACAGGATTGCCTCTGTAGCAGCTGATGCTCCTCCAGCTGGAAATTTGTTTGCAGCTGCGGCAGCGCATGCTGCAGAGCGGGCGCATTCTCTATGTCCACCAAGGAGTGATTATCCTGATCATCATCCTGCTGGACGCTGGGCGTCTTTAGCTGCAACTCTGTAAGCAAATATAAGGCGTTTTAGAAAGATCAGCAAAATATGGAATATAGGAAAAAAAATATGAAGTAAACTTGTTTATTGAGCAGTAAAGGATAGATACATTTCTATCAATTATGAGCCAATCTCAATTGAGTAACTGACCTACGCGAACTATACTTATTCAAGGTCAATTGCCTATGAACTACTCAAGCGAACTAATTAATAAATAAAACTAATTAAAAAAAAAAAAAAACACTCTTTAAAATCTCTTGGCTCACCTGAAAACTTCTTCATGCCCTCGAAGGCTCGATCCTTGCCCACCTTCATCAGCTTGTCGAAACGCTCCTGATCCTCATCTCGCAGCTTCTCGCGCAGTGCATCCATTTCTAACAGTAAATTTTTAATCTGTTTAATTACACGCATTGCATTTAGCTCCTCTTTTTTAATCTTGTGCCAATCGCCCAGGGCGAGGCTCTTCTCAATGTTGCTCCGATGATTCTCGAGCAGACTCAGATGATGGGGCACAGCCTGTTCCTGGAAGCGCTGCACTGAGACCTCGGCCTGCTTCAGCGTTAGTTTATCGTCCACCATCTTCGCACTTTGTACTGCAAATTGTCAATGAATTGATTGTGCGGGCGATACCCACATCCAACTTGAAACCACGAAAGCCCCACGAAGATTTGCTTTGGATGTCTCCTCAATGTCTGATTTGTGGTTGAATCTTAACTTTTACTCTCTCTTTTCACGCTACCGATAGCGCACAACAGCTGTCTTGGTTAACTGTGTGGATTACTAATGCATAGTTGAAATTGCGACTGATGACTATTTCTTTTGTTTTGGTTCCATTAAAATTTCAGCTGTTTTTCATGGCTAATATTTCAGAGTGCGCAATATGCGGGTGCGCTCTCTGAACACTCTACCAGTGACGTCATAAACAATTGGCAGCAATGGAGAGAGTCAATAAACAGCCAGCTCTCTGCCTTCAATGTCAATGTGAGGCTAATAGTAGAGAATATATGTAGAAAAAATGTGCATAATCAAATATAATAGTTTAATTGAAATGTTTTTCTAAGCATATATGATTCCCATATGACAGCTTAAAACAGCATCTTACTGTCATACCTTAACACGCACACAGCCCTGCCATAAAACAGTGTTGCCCACTCATTTATTAAAAGTGCTCACATTGCACTGCCCGTAATAGTGGCAACGCTGCAATGTTAACTACGCAGAGTGCCAACCGCGCCAAATTTAAAATGCTTCGCACACCGACATCATATTTATGATTTTCTGATGTTAATGGGGATGCCACTTTGCACTGCTTCCAAACAACACAGCACTGCACTGTTAACTTAACAGCATTTGTAGCGCGCGTAAAATTCAAAATTAAATGCTTACAAAAAATGTATTTATTTTTATTTCTCATATACATTTATATTCTATATACAAATACATGCAAATACTAGACACATAGCAAATTGTGAGACTTAAAAACTAGAGATTTCATATTTTTAATACATACATACATTTATGACACATGCTCTTAAGTACTAAGTGAATTTTCAATTTTGTTTTGCTCTTGATTTCGTATTTTGAGTTTTCTTTAAAAGCTACGGAGGCACTTGCGTTGGGGAATGGCTTACAAGCAGGAGCAGCTACAGACAAACACATTATGATTATGGTTTAGCTTAAATTAGAACTAAAATAAAATGCACATCAGGTCATCATCCCCGCGCTCCCCTCATTTCATGGGCAATTGGCATTGGGTGCGTTTGACATTTGAATAATAGATTTATCATGCTCTCCAGCTTGTTGGTGCGCGATTCTGTTTTATAGAGATTCGTTTGCATACGATTCACATCCATCGCTTGCTTCTCCTGTAAAAGAGCATAGACATTAGTTAAATTATAGAGCAATCAAAGTCGGTCTAGCGCAACTTACCAGTGTGCTCAGCCTACTCTTCAGTGTGTCCACCACACTGTAGGTGGCCTGCAGTGACTTTTGCAGCTCATTTGTGTGGATGCGCTCGTTGGCCAGCGATCTCTCGATCTTCTGCAGCCTGCTTACCACCTCTGCGTCTGTATCATCAATATCGTTCTCCAGATCCCGCGCCTCGAATGCATCGTCCGCATGCGAGGAACTCTTCCGGCAGCTCTGCTGATCGGCTTGCAGCACGAAGCCCTGCCGGCAGCGGCAGTAGTACGAGCCTTGGGTGTTCACGCATTGCTGATCGCACGGCTTCTCCGTCTGGCACTCGTCCACGTCCTGCTCGCAGTAACGACCCGTAAAGCCCGCCGGACAGCTGCACGTCTGCGGCGCCGTGCAATTGCCGCCGTTCTGACAGCGCGTGGTGCAGACAGCTGCGTAAGAAATTGGGATCAGATAGATTCTTCTCTGTTCTCTTGCTCAATTATCTTCTTCTCACATCTCTTCTCCCGTCAAGCTTATATTCTCTTCATGTACATATACTATATTCTGTGTCAGTGGGATTTCTTCTTCTCTTTTAACTGCTTACTCATTTGTTGTCATGTCTTCTCTATTCTCTCATATATGCTTTCTCTCTACTCTCTTCTCTCTACTCTCATAGCTAACCTTTATTCTCTCTCTTCTATTATCTCTTCTCTGTTCTCTTTTGTCATCTTCTCTGCACTTTAACTGCTCCTGCTCCTCTTCACATCTGTCATATACTCCTCTCTCCTTCTCTCATATTCTCTCTTATAGTCTTTACTCACGTTTCTTGCACGCATCCGCTCTTGGCGTCTCTCGACTCCATCCCGCACAGCATTCATAGCTGAGCTGCTGCGCCGGCTTGTGCTTGATGACATCCCGGTAGGCCTGCTCGTGGACCAGCTGGACGCGGGTGCACATCTGGCCGGGATGCGTGGGCGGCTGGCAGGGCGTGCTGATGTGCTTCCAGGTGGGCCGCGTGTACACCTCCGTCGTCTTCACCGGCATCGTGATGGTGCGCTGCTGCACGCAAATGTGTCGCCTGTTGGGTGCAAGAGATCGAACCGTGGATCAGCAAAGTAAAAAGTGAAATTCGGCAAAGACTAAAACTAATCCAAAACATAAAATCGAAACTGACTTTTCCAGCTGGCATTGGCCTGGCCACAGTCCGTTCGCTGTCATAATAAACTGGCCAACAGGTTGGCCAGCGCCCATAGACCAGAAGCGTCTGCATCTGTCGACGATTGTCTGTCCGTCTGTTTCTCTGTCTGTCGTCCACACACACACACACACACACACACACACACACAAATGTCAATCCGCATGTCATTCCGAGCATTGAACAACTCGTCACGAAATGTGTCGAAATCAGCGATGAAAACTTCCAAGTTTTCTATTGGCCCCAAACGAAATACGTTAACGAATGCGAATGTGACTCAAATTAACTAGAGCAGCAATTTCATATGAATATAGAATTAGATACTTCATGTATGCATGGAATGTATGTAATATGAGAAAAATATATACCATACTATATATAAGGAGAATTCAGCCTACTGCCTGGTCGCATACTTTCGTCGCTTTTACTTAACAATGTGCAAGAACTAATTTAATGAGAATTGCATAGAAGGGCATAGGCTGTTGAAACAGAGTTTTCTTATACTTAGGCCAAAAGCTTAGAAAAATAGAATAAAAAAACGAATTGCATACTTATATTTTTATATATTTATATTTTTCTTATATTTTTGATACTGTTGTCTCCTGCAGTAGTCCCTGTCAAACTGTAAAAGTGTAAAAACAACATGAGAATACCTTTTTGCCCGCCAGCGACAGCAACACATAAACGTTGATAATAAGCGGGTTTTTCTTGTGCTCTTTTTGAATTTGTTTCGATTTTTCGAACTGCCCAAAAAGTCAAACAGTAATAAAAAAAAGAAGCAACCATAAACTACAAGTAGCTGGACGAGGGCAACAGTTGCTGCTGTTGATGCTGCTGCTGCTGCTGGTTGCTGGTGTCGTAATTGGCGATACGGGCCAAACAATTGCAGACGCGTGACGTGGTCAACGACTGACTGACTGACTTCACTTGAAGCCGATGCTCAGCCTGAGACAGAGACTGAGACAGAGGCTGAGGCTGAGACTGAGGCTGAGACAGAGGCTGTGCCTGATAGCTGCTGCAGCTTGTAGCTGTGGACGTGCACCGTTGTACACAAATTTGTGACTTCGTTTATATATATAAAAGAAATCCAAAACAAACAAGAACTTAAAAGATAAACGACTCCATAATACCCGTCCAAGATACAGGAAAAGCTTTTGTTTATCGAATAATTAAGTTTTAATGAGAGGAGAAGATGAGGAGCAGAAAGAAAATGAAAAAGAAATACCAGGAATGTGAAGAGAAGAGCTGAAAGTGGAACAGAAACTATGGTAATAGAGACGAATGAAGACGAAAAACAAAACAGAAGAGTGGCAAGAGAAGAGAAGAGAAAACAAGAAACGGAAATGGAATATAATAGAAAGAAGGGAAAAGAAACGAAAGATTTAAGGATGGAAAAATGCAATGGATGGATAAAAAAGTAAAAAAGAGAAGAAGACTCGAAGAGATAGAATTGGTTTAAAAGGAGGCGAAAGCTAAAAATCAAATTCAAAGTAGATTTGAAGAAGGAAAAAATAATATGTGGAAAAGAAAAAGAAAAACTTATTTTTTTTTTTTTTTTTTAGCGGAATTATAAAATTTATTTACAGGAGAGGAAGAGACAAGGAACCAAGGTTATATTCACACTTGTAATTATCCTAGATACATAAATTCAATTTCAGTATATTCAGAAGTAAATACATATATTGTACTACTATCAAAAGCCGATATACCCGCTTTCACAATGGCCAAGCTTATATGGAAAAGGCGCGCAGCGGGACTTTTCGCTGGCCATTCGGGGCATTTAACAATTTCTTTATTGCAGCACATGCATATTTATGTTATGTTGCAGGCTGCAACTGGGCTGCGCCATAATTCTCACGTTATTTATGCAACAGTGTGCAGGCCAGAGACAGAGAGGAACGGCGAGAGACGGGCCAGTCAGCTAGCCAGCAATAAGGGCGCCACGAGAATGAAGATGAAGAAGAAGACGAAGTAGGAGGAAAAGAAGAGCAACATCATCCATAGCGAGAACAAAATGCGGAAGTTTTCGTAACTGTGTCAGCCAAAGTGCAACAAGCAGCATGCCCCATGCCCCATGCCCCAAACAGACAAAAAGAAGAGCAAAACATGTTCCCATTCTTTTGACTGCATAAATCTTCAGCCGGATCCGGTGCGCTGTGGCAGAGCAGCGACTACGGCTTCATTGGCTTCATTTGCTTACAAACGTTTAGAGTGAGAGATTTGAAATTTACATTTTTAATTGCTCGGCGAACACCTGTGGCTAGCAGCCCAGTCTGCAACCTGTACAGGCAGCCCTCTGCTGACTGGAAATACCGTAAAGAGAGCTGCAACGACTGCTGCTACTGCCTCTGCCTTTGGCTCTGTCTGTGGCTCTGCTGCTGCTTGATTGTCTTTTTATATAAGGCAGCTAAAGTGTTCAGATCGTTCAGTTTATGGACAAAAATTATAAAAACATCAATCAAAATATATTTCAGATGAAACTGTATTGCAAGCCAATTAATCAAAAAATATATGAAAATATGAATTTCGTAAATATAAAAAAAAACTGTTAAATTTTACAAGAAAAAAAATGCCGAAGTGAAAGAGTGACAGTGTAGCGGGAAGTGAGGGGACGGAGGCAGCGAGAGAGTGAGGCCAAGTTTTTTTGGCTCTGAACTTTGAGTGCAGCTCTTATTGATTTACGATTTATTTTTATTGAACATCGAAGCAGAAATTGATGAGCCTGGCCGAAGCGCAGTCTCTGACTCTGACTCTGACTCAGCGCCAGGCCAAAAGGTGAACTGGCAGCAAATTATTTGTATATGCGTGTGTGTGTGTGTGTGTGGGCGTTGCTTTAATGGACTGCAGCATCTGTGCTTAACAAATGGCTGCTCATATGTCGAGGGCTTAGCTATGCCTGCCGCCAGCATCACGTTTCCATTTCATCTCTCGAACTGTATCAATTTTTCACGTGCTCAACCTTTGCATATGATAATTATTTCGGATTAATTGTTATTGTTGTGGCAACGAAAATATTTATATACTTCATTTAGAAACCGAACTGAGATTGACTTGGGAATATGCTTTACTAGGTCTTACTCGGGGCGATGCAAAGATAGGCAAAGAGAGAGAGAGAGAGAGAGAGAGAGAGAGAGAGAGAGAAAAGAGAAAGACAGATAGATTAGTAAGATATGAAGTAGAAGTAGACACAGAGATCTATAAGAGCAGAGTGATCAATCATTTAGAGAAAAGGGAGAGACAGAAACATGGAAGCAGAGAGCGGTTAGACTAGAAAATATAAAGAAAGGACGGAGAAGAGGCAGAGAGAGACAGGAGACAAAAGGAGATAGATAGAAAGGTAGTCTTATAGAAAGAGTGAGAGAGATAGATAGAGAAGTAGTCTTATAGAAAGAGTGAGAGAGATAGATAGAGAAGTAGTCTTATAGAAAGAGTGAGAGAGATAGATAGCGAGGTAGTCTTATAGAAAGAGTGAGAGAGATAGATAGCGAGGTAGTCTTATAGAAAGAGTGAGAGAGATAGCGAGTATTAAAAAAAGAGTGAGAGAGATAGATAGAAAGGTAGTCTTATAGAAAGAGTGAGATAGATAGATAGAGAAGTAGTCTTATAGAAAGAGTGAGAGAGATAGATAGCGAAGTAGTCTTATAGAAAGAGTGAGAGAGATAGCGAGGCAGAATTATAGAAAGAGTGAGAGAGATAGATTGAGAGGTAGAGTAGACAGGAGATAGATAGACAGTCAGATAGAGAGGGACAGAGACAGACAGAGAGTCGATAACAAAAATGTAATATAGAGAGTGAGAGACAGTCGATAACGAAAGTGTAATAGAGAGCTATAGATAAAACAGTGAACGAGAAAGCGAAAAACATAACTGAAGATATTAAGAAAGATAGTTTCAGATATTATGAATGAAAAATAAACAAAATATGGAATAAGATACAGACTAATAGAGGTGAAGAAACAAGATAGATAGGCAACCGAAACAAAAGCTGAAAGAGACTTGATACAGCAAGAGCTAATAAATATTTTGATTATTATCAAAAAACAGTTTAACAAAGTGACAAAAAACAAATATGTGAAGACTTAACTAAAAGCCATGAAAATCGCATAGAAGGGCGTATATTTATCACTACAAGATATAAATAAAAACTATTTTGAATATAAATTGAAATGCAACTCAATGTCCATATTAAGATTATTATAGTCTTAACTCACTTTGAAGCTTTGTTGACAAAATTGAAAAAACCTCCAAGTGCGAATAGTTAACGAGATTTTTATATGGCCAAATTAACCTTAATTGAAACAGCTTTCGACACCAAAGGCTTTTTATGGACTCCGCTTTATGGCAGCCATCATTGTGCTGGGCATAATGGGCAATCGAGTGTCTTTCGTGGGAACAGCTTCAACTGATTTTTTAATTTGTGAGGAGAGGCGAGCACAATGCAACTATATGTATTTATTATATTTATGCAAATCTGAGAGGGGCCTGGACAAGGGGGACTTCGATTTTATTGAGCGCTCGACTTGAGGCGAAGCTAAATCATTTTTACGAGCTGCGTGCAGCCGGGGGTCATTTTCCGTGGAAAACGAGTTTACAAAAAAAAAAAAAAAAAAACAGTTAAGAGGCGACAAGCGTTGGCGACACTTAACAGCTCTAAAAGTCTCAATAAAATGAAAGAAAACTGCATAGAAAACTATACTTTATGGCTGAAAATATTTAAGGTCAAGACTGAAGCAGGCAGCAGGAGTGGAGGCAGACGGGCTTTGGCCATCTAACTGTACTTGGCCATTCCTGTGTGATTGTGGCCAACTAATCTGATTTGTGGCATGAAATTAGAATCTAAATTGGCCTGCCCCAGCCAAAAATGCAATTACGAAATTCTGCCAG